AGGAAGGGGGACAATGTGAACTGAGCCCTGAAGGATGGACAGGAGATAACCAGCAGAGAACTAGGATGGGGGTGTGTCCAGGGGTATCTTTGTGGTCTCCAGGTCCAGCTCAGGGCTATTTCAGCCCCTCCCCCTAACAGAACAATCTCCCACAGGACCTAGTATGCGCTGGGTGCTTCATGAGGGGGCCTGCGTGCACACTATTCCCTGCGTCCCTGCGGTACCCTCCCCCTTGTCTGCCTCAGTCCCACAGCTGGGCTGTCACTTTCTCAGGAAGCCTTCCCTGACCCCCCAGCCTGTCTGAGGTACCCCTTGTCTGGACACCAGAGGTGCTATTGTTTCCCACCTCCCCCCCACCCCCACCTCACACAGCACTTCCTATATGCTCCTCTGCCTCTTTGCCCCCCACCAGAGATGAGCTCTGAGCTCCCTTTTTATGCAAAGCACTGCACTGGGTGCCAAACTGACCCAGTCCCCACACTTGAGAAATTACCATCCCGAGGCCTCTTTTTGGCTCTGCAGCTTCATGAGTAGTGACTCCGGCAAGGAGTAAAGAATTTCCTGGGCTCTGCATCTGGGCACTGTGGAAGCAGAGGAAGGGAGCAGGGACACGCTCCTGCCTCAGTCGAGGTGCCAGTGGTCCTTGCCACTGGTACAGTCTCTCCTCTCTGCCAGGCCTTTGTACGTTGTTCCTTCTTCCTGGAGCAGCCATTCCCTGCTCTGCACCTGGTAAACTTCTACCACTTACCCATCACCTCCTTCGGGAAGCCTTCCCTGGTTCTCCTACCTGATCTCAATATCCCTTCCCTGAGCTCCCATGGCTCAATGCTGACCTACCTTAGCAGTGTCTTACCCCTCAGGTTTATAACTGGTATTTCACTTACCTGGCTCCCCAACCAGTCTGGGAGTCCCCAGGGTGTGACAAGCTCTGGCTGTCTCTCCCAGGTGATAAAGAACCGGATCCATTCATTCCGGGCCTACGGCATTGCAGTGCGGGGCCGCGCCAAGGCCCTGGTGCAGGAGAACATCATCTTCCAGGGCAAGACCAGCAAGACGATCTTTCAGCAGATCTCAAACAACCGAGAATGTATCATGCAAAACAACAAGTTCTTGGTGTTCAAGAAAAAGTAAGTGTCTGGGATCTGCCTAAACCAATCTTCTAGAACCACAGGGAGGCGACTAGAGAAGCCAGGCCCAGTGATGCTGGCTGTCCTTGCTCCCTGCAGTCCTGCCAGCTTCTGGCTCTGGTCAGATAAAGGCCCGTGCTTGGACTTTAGTCAGGCCGGTGCTGAGGACCTGCGTCTGCCTCCTTGGGAGAGAACAGGCTTTAAGAGTCAGGGGGGTGTGATTTTAAATCTCAGCTCTGCCAGTTTCTTGCGCAAGGCACTCAACACCTTGAGTCTTAGTAAAATCCAGTTAACAACGTCTGCTTTGTAGCACCAATTTAAGATACAGTCAAATCATGCGACCTAGCACAAGATCTGAGGTATTACAAAGACGTTCATTGCTGCTGCTGTCACTTATTTATGATACCTCTGCCTCTGTGTACAACTGCTTCACACTTATCTTCCCTGAACCTCCCTGCTCCCCATTTCAGTGACCTCACCCTCTGATCTATTCTGGCAGCAAAACCTCTCACCCTCTGATCTATTCTGGCAGCAAAACCTCTGTGACCGATTTCTCCCTAACATCAGAGTTCAGTCAGTCATTACTAGGTCCTCTTGATTCCGCTTCTGAAATGTGCCTGTATCTGGCACCTTTTCTCCCCAACTGCCATCACCCCTGCTCACATCTCAGCACCCTTCACCCTGACCTCTGGCCCCTGTTGCCAAGGTGCTGTTCTGCTGGTGAACGGATGGACTCTGTTCTGCTTGGTTGGTGCTTTGCTACACTGGTTATACAGGTAATAACTGTTATACCACCGCTGCCACATTCCTCTCGCACTGGTGACAGCCCTGGCTGTCAGATGCATCCGTCTAAATCGGCTCTGCTCATGTCACAGCCCTGGTCAGAAACCTTTGATGGGTCCCCTTTTCCTGTAGTAATGATCTCTATTCCCTTTTTAATTCTACACATGCTCAGCAAAAATATTGAGGAAACCTCATATATGTTTTATACAGTCATAACTTATAAAAAAAAAAAAAGTAGGAATTCTAATCTTTTCTGGACAGAAAAGCAGATATGATCCCAGCAGATCATATCGTGGACTCCCTGGGGTCTGCTTCCTCCTGTCCCTTTGGAGACCCCAGGATACAGATAGCACAGACCTGGCAGCCTGCATCATCCACCATGCACTGTTGAGTCCTGATTTTCCTGTCCAAGCTTGCTGTCTGCTGCCAGACTCAAATGCTGGCAATTCTTTGAACACAGTAGCTAGTTCCTCACCATCCACACCTTTACAGTCCTACTCATTGTTACAGAATCACCATAAAAATGCATAGAATATATGGTTACTGGCTTAAGCAACTTAGGATTTGGGGTAAGAGGTGGTCCCTTGTAACTCAAATGACAGAAAGCCCCAACCAAAGCTTTCCCTGACCCTTCAAAATCTCTGTAAGAGCCTGAGGGACTGGAAACCTACCCATTCCTGTCCCCTATAGCAGTTTCCAAAATGTCATTTAAGGAAATCGCACGGTATGTAGTCTTTGGAGCCTGGCTGCTCTCACTTAGCCTAATGCACCTGAGATTTGTCCATGGTGTCACATGTTGTTCATTCTTTTTGTTGCCAAGTAGCGTTCCATTGTATGGATGGACCACACTGTTTATCCATTTGTCAGCTGAAGGGTATGTAGTTCCTAATTTTAGGTGATTATGACTAAAGCTTCTGTATACACACAGGTCATACACCTAGGAGGGAAATAGAAAAAGTCACCGACCTTCTCCAGAGCCTTATAGAGATGGGGAAGTTGAGGCTTACTTGTCCAAGGTTACATGCAGAGCTGGAACTAGAATGCAGGACTTTTGCCCCCTAGCTTCCCACACATCCCACCTCCTTGAGCTATCACTGATTTGGAGGCAGAACCGACACCCAGATTTTGAACACCTGGATCTCGAGCCTAAGGTGAGATGGTGTGGGGCATTCAGCAAATGCTCCAGACTCTCCCAGTTCACGGACTGTCATTTTGCACCTCTAGGTCTGATACGTGGCGCCTGGTGAACCCACCAGCACGGCCTCACCTTGAAAGTTCTCTCCGAGGCCCCTCTACAGCCCACAGTGGACAGAAGGTGACGGCCATGGCGACCAGGATCAGTGCCCGCGTGGAAGGTGGTTACCACAGCAATCGTAGCGTCTTCTGCACCATTCTGTAAGGAAGGGGAGCCGCGGCGTGGGGCGGCTGAGGGCGGTGCAAAGACTCCAGGAGCAACAACCCCCATACCCAAGCTCAGGCTCGGGCTCTGATGGGTGTTCAGCCGAGCTAGGAGGTCAAGGCAGCATCGGGATGAAAGCAGCAGCTGAGGGGCTCTGGGCCTCTCTCAGTCCTCCTACTCACTGCACCCTGGAGAAAACAGGCTTCCGGGCTTCCTGGGGACTAAGAAAAGAAACAGATTGGTGGGTTTCCTGTCACTCAAGCTCTTATAGAAGTTATGAAGAGTTGGGGAAAAACGATACTAAAGCTTTAGTCAGGTCTCTCTGAATGACAGGGAAGTGTTGTTTTACACACACCAAACCCAGACTCTTGTCAGGGAAGAGCATTTACTCCTGAGGGAGGAGGTGATTCTGGTAAGGTGGAAGGAGATAGCTGCCCCAGAATTTTCCCCTTTCCTGGACCTGTCTCGATCCCTACAAGCACATGGCCACATGCTCCTGGCTATCTGCAGAGGCTGGAGGAGTTGAGCTTGGTTCCCTTCAACTTGAACATGAACTGTGAGGGGGACAGGGAGCCCTCTGGAAAGGCTGCCCTACGATGACAAGGGACTTGCTGAAAAGAGGAAGGCCGTGTGGAGAAGTCCTCCTTTCAGCAGCCCAGGTGCCCGGCTGGGTGGGGCAGGGATGCACGAGACCCCACTCTGCCCTCAGGGAGCTCCCAAACTCAGGAGGATACTGGCTCGAGGCCCTGCGTGTACCCACACCAGCCGCCCTCCTGGGCACCAGACTGGTGGAGATGGAGGTGCCCAGGGCCCCTTGTCTGTGTCCATGTTCTCTCATGGATGACTGCCTGCCTTTACTGACCCTACCACGGTTCCCCACTCTGTGCCTTGGCTCATGCTCTGTCCTCTTCTTGGCATGCCCTTCTCACCATCTGCACTTGTCCACACCCCACCTAGTCTTCGGGGGTTTAGCTGAGACCCTGCCTTCTCCGCAGAGCTCCCCTCCCTGCAGTGACAGCACCTTCCGCCCTTCCAGCTCTGAGGCTCCACCACCCTTTCTCTGCCCCCTCTCAGGTATGGAGCACTTTCTGCCTTGCTTTGGAGTTTTCTAGGCCCCTGCCTGTGAGCAGGACCTGGCCTCAGTCTGTTCCCAGTTCCCAACCCAGGGTTGCCGTGGGGTCAGCCTGAGGGAGGGGAGGAAGGGCCTCCTAAAGGGCTTTACTGAACTGTACTGTGAACGTGTCAAGGTCCCAGAGCCAGGTGGGCTCAGATCCCACCTGCTTGAGGACGGGGGCTGAATGCAGCACTGAGCAGCTCAGCCTGGACAACCCCCTCCCACTCGGCCTTTCATGTGGGGCCTTCGCCAGCCTATAGGGGGTGCTGTGGTACACTTTGCCACTCGCTTCCCAGGCTGGTTCCACCGGGCCCTCGGTGCTGCTCACCTGGGTGGGGTGGCGGGGTAGCTGGAGATAGTAGTAGCTGGCTTCTCTCCGAGGACTTTGGGCACAAGACACGGGCCCCTCCTGTCCCCAGCACTGTCCTTTGCACTTCTCTGGTGGCCCCAATGTGAGTCGCTGTACAAAATGCTGCCTTTATTATTTTGTAATGACTTTTCTGTGAACCAAATGCTTATGAAAATCTCTGCAACCAAAATAAAGTTTTATATTTTAAAAGAAGCCCTTTCGGGGGACTTGCCTCGGTCTGGGTACATGCTAGGGTTCCTGGGCAGCTGGATGCAGTTCCCTGCTTCACCTTCCTGAGGCACTGATGTTTCTTCCGCTGAAAGAGACAGATGCTCTGAATGTCCTGTCCATTCAGCAGGTTCCGATTCCGGGCTCCAGGGTCTGGGTTCCCATGTGTTGGGGGTTATACTGTGGCCCTCCCCACCCCGTGGGCTGTGGAGATCAGCAATAACAGTACCCGGTGTAGCAGACTGGACAGTTTGCAAACGGTTTTGAGATCAGGAACCACATTTTCCCAGCTTCAGCATCTTCGTTTTTGCCGTATCTGCATGCCACCTAAGGAGAAAGTTAATACTTAATATTTTTCCTTAAGTTAATACTTTATTTTATAGAAGAGTGTTAGATTTACAGCACAATAAGCACATACATAGTACAGTGTTCCCATATCCCCCACCCCCATCCCGAGTCTCCCCCTTACTAACGTCTTACAGTAGGGTGGTACATTTGTCACAATCAACCAATACTACCTCACTGTTAGTAACTGAAGTCTGTAGTTGTTATCCAGTATTCTTTTTCCATTCCAGGACCCTATCCAGGACATTTAACTTTGCTGAACTAAAAAGACATATTTACATCACTACTATAAATCCAAAGTTAGGGTTTTCTAATACACATCGAAACTATTAAAATGAAAATATTCGTGATACCACAAGCAAATAAGCCTTTGTTGAAATGATACATTTGGGGAGAATTGTTACTGCACTTTATCCTGGCCAGCAGAACCTCATGTATTTTGATACGCTAAAATTGTGTTCCATCCATAGTATGCTGAATACTCGGTGAGGTCGTTGCCCTATTTTTCACAGAAGGAATTGAGGCTCTGAGTAGTAATGCCTGTAAAGGTCCAGCAGGTGAAAGTTCACTGTCAAATGTTAAGAGCTTGTAGGCAGGAGAGGGGTAGATAGGGCTGTTGCATAAAGCTTTGGCAGAAAAAGGAACAGTGGAGACACGCGCACACACACAGTGCCCATCTCCGCCAAGTCACTTGGAGGCGAGACACCCATCCGTGCCCTCCTGTGGCTGGAGTAGAGTGAGGAGGGCGCTGCCCTGCAGGGCCTGCACACCATGGTTGAGTGGGCAGGGCTTGCTGTCCTACACAGCTGGCCAGACCTGCCCAAGAGAACCCATTCTGATTATTTGGCCTTAAGTAAGCCAAAATCTTATCTCCCTGGCTAAATCCTACCCATACTTCAGGATCCTACTTCATTATCACTTCACAGAACACCGATCCCTTCAATCTCCCTTAAGTCCTTCCCCAACCCTTGCTCTCATGCCCATGCCCCACCCCCACCCCAGGTTATTCTCATGGTGGCACTGAATCTTCTGTATTGAAAAACTCTGTTGATTTGTCTGATCCCCTACCCCATGCTCTGTGAAGTCATACCCAATTGATCCTCTATGTCCAACGTAGACCAACACTCAGTGTTGGATGCAGGGGTAGATGGATGGGTAAATGGATGAAGAAATAAACCCAGCACCACTCCTAGCATCTCTACCTTCTAGAGCCCCCAAAGGGCATCTCTTCCCTGACAACTCTCCAGAGATTTACAGACAACATCCTTATGCCTCTGGGGTCTGCCCTGCTCTTGGCCACCTCTCATACATGCCACTTTGCAGACTGTTCTCCCCATCCTGGTCATTTCTCGAGACCCACTCCAGTAGTCTGGGTGTGTCTGGGAGAGCCCAAAGGCAGCATGTAAGAATCCTATCCTGCATCTCAGGAGGTATGTCCCAGCTCTGTGCATAGCAAGTAGATCTGAAGATAGGATTCTCTAAGGTCACTGTGTTTCCCTGGATCATTTGCTTTCAGCCTGCAGTAGCTAAGGGCCTCCTTCACTGAGTTGTCACTGGTGAAGGCTTAACCCTGGTACAGAGTGCAACAGGTCAGCTGCCCCCATCAGGTCAACAGCTTATACTGCGGCCTCCCTGGGCTTTCCTGCTGGCCAGCCAGGCCCAAACATTGATGCCTTCTGATAGGAGTGTGCAAACACAACAAAGACCAACACAGCTTCACCCAGGTCTCCAAATCCTGTTGAGGCCACTGCCTTGATGTCCAAAGGAGATCCTGAGTACAGGGAATGGTAGACATAGTACGGCCAGACCAGACAAGAGCTAGTTGTGTCTTAGAACAGCAATAACTCTACACGGTCCTCAGCAGCCCTGGGCCCACCTTGCCACTCCTTCCTTCCCACAGCACAAAGAAAGTCTCCTCTCCAAAGTCTTCTCTCCCATGAGGCCTGATGGGCTTGTTCCAACACTAAGCAGTTTCTTCCTATTTGAACATGCTCATCCCATTAGCTCTTTCTCCCTTCCTGTCCTGAGCTTTGTACAGTGCATTTATGACCATGGGGCTCCAGAACCCCTCCACCGTGATTAGCATTCTTTTTAAATGAAGTCAAGCCTAGCTATGGCCCTGCTAGTACAGAGAAACTCACAACTGTCAACATCTTCTTGAAACATTGTTCTTGCCTGAGTGCAGCTAAAGATCCTAATTGTCAGGATGGTGTCTCACTTCTTGGTTTTGGCCCACTATTAATGCCCTCTGTTTGGGCTCCTTGGGTAAAAAGCTGATTCCAGGGCTAGAGCAGGGAAAGTACAAGATGCCTGGACTATCTTGGTCCAGAAAGGAAGCAACCATCCTTAAAATGATGGGGATACAGGAGCTAGTTCGAAGAAACCCGAATTGGCCAAATGTGGTACAATCTGAGCCTCAAAATACAGGATAGTAACAACGTTCATAGAATAAGAATCGGCGTGTCTATCCTGATAACTAAGTGAACAAAAACATTTTAACAGGAGGGAAAAGAGGGCTTCCTCTGTGTAAGAAACGAATGATAGGGTTAGAAAATCACCATACTGCAACCATCTTGGTAACTTATTCAACAAGAATCAACTAGGGCTAAAACTCATGGTGCCTTCATGATGGAGAGAACACAACCTAATCAAACAATGAAAGTTAACATCACAAGTACAGGACAAACATCATGTGCCTCTACTGTGATGCACTTAGAACACAGCACCATGTCTGATTTTCCTGCCCAAAATGTATATCCAGAATCTAAACCCAAGGAAACACCAGACAAACCCAACTTGAGGGACACCCCACACAATAAATGACCTTACTCTTGATTCAGATAGATTAAACAAAACCAAAGAAGTGTGGTGGCCAAAATTTGAATATGAACTGAGGACTAGTTGCTAGTATTGTTTCTGTCTCCCCACTATTGATGAATGTGCTGTAGCTATAAGAGAAAGGCCTTGTTCCTAAGACATGCACAGTGCAGGGGGCGCCTGAGTGGTTCAATTGGTTCAGTGTCCCGCCCTTGATTTCTGGCTCAGGTCATGATTTCATGGTTTGGGAGATTGAGCCCCACATCAGGCTCTGTGCTGACAGCAGAGAGTCTGCTTGAGATTCTCTCTCCCTCTCTCACTCTGCCCCTCCCCCACTCATGGTTGTGTGCTCGCTCGCTCTCTCTCAAAATAAGTAAATAAACTTGGGGCACCTGGGTGGCTCAGTAGGTTGAGCGTCTGACTTCAGCTCAGGTCATGATCTTGCTGTTCCAGAGTTCAAGCCCCACATCAGGCTCTGTGCTGACAGCTCAGAGCCTGGAGCCTGTTTCAGATTCTGCATCTCCTTCCCTCTCTCTCTCTCTCTCTGCCCCTCCCCTGCACATGCTCACTCGCTCTCTCTCTCTCAAAAGTAAACATTAAAAATTTTAAATAAATGGGGTGCCTATGTGGCTCAGTCAGCTGAGCGTCTGGCTTTGGCTCAGGTCACGATCACATGGTTTGTAGGTTTGAGCCCTGCATCGGGCTCTGTGCTGATAGCTCTGAGCCTGGAGCCTGCTTCAGATTCTGTATCTCCCTGTCTCTCTGCCCCTCCCCCGCTCACTCTCTGTCTCTGTCTCTCAAAAATAAACATTAAATTAAGTAAAATAAATTAGATATTAAACATAAATTAATAAACATTAAACAGTAATATGTATTTTTATATGTTACATATATTTTGTTATAAACATATTTATGTGTTATAAATATGTTTATATATATTTATATGTATGTTATAAACATGTTATAACATTTTATATGTTATATATATGAGATATATATATATCATATATATAAACAAACTTTTAAAAAAAGACATACACACTACAGTTCTTACAGGTAAAAGAGTGGGATGCTTTTCTCAAATTTTCTCAAAAGGCACAAAAAGAAATCTATAAATGTATAAAGAAATAATAAATACAACACATCAACAGCATGAGAATCCGGGTAAAGGATATACAGTTCTTTGCACTATTCTCACAACTGTTTTCTAACAAGGATATTATGTAAAAACAGAAGTTTTTTAAAGAGGACACTTTAAAGAATTTTATCTGATTAGCTTTTTCCAGGTTGGGGTCCCCTATAAGTGTGTTACACTAACTTCTTTGACCTCATCACTGTTCCAGTGTCCAGTGGGTCCATGCCACAGGCAGAGACTCCCCTCCCGGGAAGAGACTTCACTTCGCTAGCCAACACCCAAAAGTTGAGATTATTCCACAAACTGAAAATCCCCCTAACGGTACAAGCATCCAGCCCACGGTCTTCCTTTCTTCAAAAAGGACATCTGGGGCACCTGGGTGGCTCAGTCAGTTAAGGGCTTGGGCTCAGATCATGATCTCATGGTTCATGAATTCAAGCCCGTCAGCGCAGAGCCCGCTTCAGATCCTCAGTCCCTCTCTGATCCCCCACCCCCTCCCTGCCCCTCCCTGGCTTGCACTCTGTCCTTCTCTCTCTCAAAATAAACATTTAGAAAAAAAAAGAAAAGACATCAGGAGACATTTTGGCAAAAAAAAACTTTGTGGGATTAAGGTATCCTCTGTGAATGTATTAGTAAATAAATGGGTTTTTAGAGCTAGAAGGAAAAAACCTAGTACGATTCTATTATTTCACAAGTGTTACTGCCTAAAATCCCTGCCATGAAGAGAAGGCGCAGTTCACGTATTATGACTCATTTAACAGACACTGATTGCTATACGTCAGGTACTGGGCTAGGTTCTCTCTCACAAGACTTGTTCAGGTGGAACAAGGGCCCCCCTTTTGAGCCTTTTGATCCACAGACCCTTTGATGTACAGAAATGTGCTTTTCAGCCCGCCCCTGAGAACGCACCCCCTACATTTAGCGAGGTACACCTGTGGTCAGCCAAGCCAAGTATTTATTTGTCATCCCAGACTTCTCCTTGTCAGTATCATGCCTCCGTGTGAGTGACTGAAGACGGGCTGCTCTCTTACTCGCACAGAGGTGGTTCAGAATCCTGCTCACGTGCTAGGAGCCGACCATTCCTGGAAATTAAGTCTCACAGTGTCCAACCCATCAGAACCTAAATGTATTCATGAAAACACAGTCTACCCTATGAGCCACTAGTTCGCTTCCCAAAGATCCGTAAGGATCTTCTTTTTCCTGGTGCAGAGTCACACGCTTGATTTTCACAACAGCTTAAAGAAAAACGAGGTGTTTAGATCTCCTGCTCACCCCTCTGCTGGAGGGAGACAAGGATGTACTGACGCCCACTACCGAGGACTGGAAACAAATGAGACAAACCACAGCCACCTGGAAACATGCACTGCAGGCATGGCCTCACCTCAGAAGCAGCCTGAAAACCGCATCCCAGAACATGAAGAAATACAAGGATGGCCTGTCCCAAATGAATCACCCGAGACTCCTTTCCACCGTGTCTTCCCTCATGGATGACCCAGCTGCCGTGTGAACTTCCTCCTGTCGCATTTCCAGGGAGAACTGGATTTCATCTCCCCTCCGTCACTTGTCCTGGCTCCCCAGATCTAACTTTGAGCACTAGGCACGGACCTAAGTCTCTCTGAGTCTCATTCCTGTTCCACATATCGCCCCTCCAGATGCCGACTCCACCACCCCAGTGGCAGGTAAGGTTGGGCAACGGCCAGCCTCCACTCCCGTCTCCTGGGTGCTTTCCAGTAAGTAGAGGCTGCAGAGCAGACACCGATTTCCAGACTCCCTTGCTGCTAGGGTTCTAGATGCAAATTAGGTTCCTATGTGTGGACAGTTGAGCCACGAACAACATGGATTTGAGCTGCACAGCTCCACTCACGCATGCTTATTTCCAACAAATATAGTGCATTGTTGTAAATGTACGTTCATATAATTTTCTTAAAAACATTTTTCTCTAGCTTACTTTATTGTGAGAATACTCTATATAATACATATATAAAATACGCTCATTGCCTGTTTATGTTCGAAGTAAGGCTTCCAGTCAACAGTAGACTATTAGTAGTTAAGTTTTGGGGGTGTCAAAAGTTACACACGGTCAGGTGTACTGTCACATGCATGGATAAACCTCAGAAACTTGTGCCAAGTGAAAGAAGCCAAACACAGAGGAAAACATGATGTGCAATTTCATTTACATTAATATCAAGGTAAGTCCATAGAAACAGAAGACAGATTAGTGGTTGCCACTCACTCAGGGGAGGATGGAGTAGGGTATTTCTTCTTAATGGGCACAGGGTTTCCTCTAGGGGTGATGAAAAAGTTCAGGAACTGGATGGAGGACAGGGTTGCACAACATTATGAATGTACTTAATGCCACTGACTTGTGCATTTTTATATGGTTTTTGTTTTTTAGTTTTTTTGGGTTTTTCTTTATTTATTTTGAGAGAGGGTGCAAGCAGGGAGAGGCGGAGAGAGAGGGAGGGAGGCTGACAGCACAGGACCCAACGCGAGGCTCAGATTCATGAACGGTGAGATCATGACCTGAGCCGAAACCAAGAGTCAGATGCTTAATCGACTGAGCCACCCAAGTGCCCCTTAAATGGCTTTTTAAAGGTATAAAATTTATGTGTCTACATTTTACCAAAAGAATATGCGGCCAACCCATGACAAAGACAGCCAAAGGATCCACCCTGAAAGGGATCACAGACTTGGCGGCTGGCACTTTCATGATAATACATACCCCCTGCTCCTGCACAGCCACAGAAGGATCCAGGACTGGCCTCGAAGCCACTGAGGGCCTTTCCAGCTCAGATGCCATCAGGTCCCACAGTCCTTAGCGTGAAGTTCTTTGTCTCCCCATAGACTTGTTGGTTTTTGCAAATGCCCTCATCTGTTAAGAAAAATTCTCTCGACAACCATCTGGACATAATTCAACAAAACTGCAGAACATAAACTCAAAGCCGAGACTTAGTTTTTACTTTACTATCAACTGATGCATCAAATGTCGTTAACACGCCAACTAATTTTCAGTAGCTTCCGGGCATGTCTGAGACCACAGGCACCACCAACAAAACCCACAGCAAGAGCAGTGCTTGGGAAATTCAGTCCAAGGACTCCCGCAGCTGCTCAAAGGAAGCAGCTGGATTGGACTCCATGGTCTGTGCTGGGGAAGGAAGGCGGGACCCCCAATCCATCACGCTGGAAAACAGCGGCCACCGCCACTGCAGCACAGAAACGGAACGGCTTCCAGAGCTGGGCACAACACACTTCACAGGGCTCCGGCCTCAGTGACCTGGGACGTCAGGCTCTTTCCTGGCCACAGAGGTCTTGAGTCTTCCCTGAAAGTCCTCGTCCTCCCACAGACTCGGCACTCGCCATGGACAGCTGGCCCCGGTCTCTGCATTTTTCAAGTCTTGTCCCCGGATCTTCAGACTCCAGTCTGAAGGGTCTGCAACCGTCTCAAGTCAGGAGATTTGGTCCCAAATCAATGCCCTTCATTCAAATCAAGCACCTCTGTCAGCTGGGCCTTGTGCTGGCCGTGGTAGAGGAGACTGAGGTTAGTCAGACACGGTCCCCGCCCTGGGACAGTTAACACAGTGTGAGAGAGACGGCAAGGTGCGTGGATAAATGACTGCCGGCCAGTCCAAGGCAGAGTGTGGGGCCCACAGGAAAGGGACACCTGAAATGCTCCAGAGAGTCTACAAAACGGCTCCTGCCAGCCAGCGGGGCAGCATGTGTCCTGCCGATGGCTGCACGGGGCTTGGGGACGGCTGACGGCTGTCAGGGAGTCCAGAGCGCCAGGCGCCCCCCACCAGTCGGGACCCCGTGTGAGGGTTCAAACCGACGGACCTCCTGGCTGGCTTAATTAAGCCCCAGTTAGGCATTGTGCCCAGAAACCTCTCCTCCCTCCTGTAGAAAAGCCCAGCTCACAGCACGACATGCAGGGAACCGGGTCAGCTGTCAGGGGATGGCAGCTGCGGGCAGTGGTGTCGACAATGGTCAACGACTGCCACCTCGGCTCAGACGTAGGTCACTGAAAACCGCAGGGCCCAGAAACCAGACATTCCACCCTCAGGAAGCATTCTGCCTCCTGTCCCTGACCTCACAGAGAAGGGCCGGCTGGGGCCACCCCGCTCTGAAAGGACACAGAAACCACCCTGGCCGGAGCTTTGCCTGAGGAGAGGAGGAGAAGCAGAGGCCGCAGACACTCGGTGGGGCACCATCTCTGAGGTCAGGGAACAAACAACAGACCCAGAGAATGGGTAAGTTACAGCTCATCCTCTTTCTGGAACCCTCGGAATATGCTAAGAAACCATCGAACATTCCAGGAAAAGCAGTTGGTTTAATGTAAGGCGTAAACCATAGGCGATAAAGCCATCTCTGCGCTCTGGGCACAAGTGTAAAGGGCCGCTGGGCACAGACAGGCAGGAGACTCAAAACAACAGGTCTGATCCGCCGCATACCGGGTTTAGGGAATAAACTGAATTCATTTCTTTTTAAGTCCCCATTATTTCTGTCTGTGCACAACGACACCTGTGTTAGGATCAGAGAGACAGGCTCTGAGAAGAGAATCCAAGCTCTGAGGGATGGAGCACGGGCTCCCAGGGGGATGGCACGGTGGTGAGCCCCCGGCCACCAGCAGCCCTGCCCCTTGTCCCCCCACCACCCCCACTCCCCCCTGCATACCTGGAAGGGCTCAAAGGTCTGACCTCGGACTCCGTGTCTGCACCTGGCAGAGAGCTCAGAGGTCTTGTGGGCTCTCCTGGGACAGACACGAAGCAGCTCACCTTGGGGCGTCCATGGCATGGACATCAGGAGCACCATGAACGCCCCACTGCCCCCATCCCCCATCTTCCCAGGCCCGGAACCCGGGCATTGGAGAGTCTCTGTACCCTCCCTCCGAACCCAACCACTCTCAGCCCCTGCTACTGTGACCCCCAAACATCTCCCGTGTTTCCTCTTCCGTCTCCACTGCCATCACACACACTCAGGCTCTCTTTGTGTGTATGTGTTTATTTTTGAGAGAGAGCACAAGTGGGGGAGGGACAGAGAGAGACACAGAATCTGAAGCAGGCTCCGGGCTCTGAGCTGTCAGCACAGAGCCTGACGCAGGGCTAGAACCCACGAACTATGAAATCATGACCTGAGCCAAAGTCGGACACTTAACCGACTGAGCCACCCAGGCGCCCCCACGTTCAGGCTCTTATGTGCATGATCTTATGTGGCCACACAGCACCTGCTCTCCCTGCTTTCGCCTTGACTCCTACCAATCTCCTGCTACAAATACTAGATGTCACAGCACATCTACAAGTTCATGACATTCCAATTTGCTGCAACTATTCCCACGAGAGCCACCACTGGAAGAAGGCAGATCCTTGACTTAGATTCAGGTGTTCTAACAAAGTAAGTCGGTGACTGAGAGGGAAAACAGCTTGGAGGAGAAAAAAGCAGCACGGAAGATCCACATTTCAGGTGCTTGATGTTCAGATTTTATGTGACCTGACATTACCAGGTCATTCCTGAGTAAAATGAATACAGATCCATTTTGTTTAAAAGACAATGTTAGAAAAGAAAAACAAAGAAGGGAGGAGTTCTGGAAGTTTCCTATAAAGCCCTTCTGTTAAGCAATTTCCATTTTCTTGCAGATTCCTCGTTATAAAATTAGAACTGTGTTCCCCTGGACAATAATCTATGCCCTGGAAGCTTATTTCAAAACCCAATGACCACCATAAGAAAAGCAATTCCTTCCTAATTAAACATTAAGATGATTGGTCAATGTATCAACATACCACTGCAAAATAGTTACAAAATAAAAACAAAGCCTCCCCACCTCCCCTTCAATCTGCTTCCTACTCTGATGGCAGATTAATTTTACTAAAAGCACAGCTCTGCTCAAGCCTTTCCCTCATTCAAAACCCTTCAGTGGCTCCCCATTGCCTTCAGGATAAAGAACAAACTCCTAGCGGGTGTTTGAAGATCCTTCTCCTTTTGGCCCCGACCTACTTGTGTAGCCTCATTTCCTTCTAATCACCTTCAAATAACCCCTGGCCCAAACAAAATGCACTGAGAGTCCCTGCCACGCCTTTATCTTTTCCCCACTTCTGCCTAGAATGTTCTTTACTCCCTTCTACCCCCCACGTCAAAACCCTGCCTCCTTGTAAGACTCACTCAAATGCTACCTCCTCCATGAAGTCTTCTGTGATGTCCTCCTCCCTAATACATGCTGCCCACCATCTTCAGGCTTCCATAACCTTTTACTAGAGATGATTCTCATGTATTTAGCACTGGCTGGCTTGTATTGTTATTTCTGCACATATTCTCTACTTCCTGATAAACTATAAACCCAAATACATTTTCCCCTCACATTTAACATATGTCATGCAATAGAAAGTACTAAAATTTTGAATGAATCAAGTAACAAGCGGCAGAAAACAGTACAATATGGCTGGCAGCAACTGAATTTACCACTGCACTTAGAGAGGTAGCAAGTCTGGAAACGTGAGAACTCTATCCCAGTGGTTGGAACATTTTGTCTACATATTGTCAGTTTCTATCGAAATCCCCAATTTACTATCATTATTTACCCATTGATCTTTCGGTCCTGCTGGATATGTATGTGTGTGTGTGTGTGTGTGTGTGTGTGTGAGCATGCCTGAGGGTATACGTGCCTGTGCAGAGGGGAGGAAGCAGAGTGGAGGAGAAAGATTATCATCAAAAACTGGCAGCAGCAGGGGCACCTGACTCAGTTGGTTACACGCCCAGCTCTTAGTTTTGGCTCAGGTCATCGTCTCAGTTTGTGAGTTTGAGTCCCGCATTGGGCTTCGTGCTGACAATGTGGAGCCTGCTTGGAATTCTCTCTCTGTCCCTCTGTCTACCCCTCACCCCCCCTCCAAATAAATAAACATTAAAACAACAACAACAACAACAACAGGCAGCAGCAACAGAGAAGCTCCTTCAGTGAAGACAGCTCAAAATCCACAGAAGCATCAAGTGTGTCCTCTACTGACTGTCAAACACAAGGAGGGGGAGATTGAAGTCCTGCCGGGCAGTGGTTCCCACTTTACTGAGGACCGCAGAGCTTGTGAAAACCCAGGTGGGCCCCACGCCCAGAGTTTCTGTGCCTGTAGGTTGGGGTGGGGCTCAGATTTTGCATTTCTGACAAGCTCCAGGATACGCTGATAGGGACTATGCTTTAAGGATCCTCCACGTAGATGAACAAATGAATCAAGGGGTTCAAGGTGCAAGGATCAGCCCCTTGTATATGATACAAGTGTTTTAAAGGCTAGAAAAATTCATCTTTAATCAGATTAAGGCACACAGAGAAACACCATCATCTTGTGGTTTTTCCTTCTCACTTGTAATTCAGAAACCAAATTCTGTAGGGTAGACTGAAGAGCTATGGACAAGGGAGTCAGGAGACCTGGGTTCAAGTCCTGATTCTGTCACTAGTTAGCTAGGTAACCAAAGACCCTTCGATACCCTCTCAGGACACTACTGCACACATTAGAACCACAATTAGAACTCAACCTGATAAATCTCCAGGGTCAGGTCTTACATCCCATAATCTCACAATTTTAAAAACCTGTTAGCAATTTAGTTCCAAATCTAATTATCCCATCTCTATATAAAATGCTTAAAGATGCTGCAAATTGAAAACATGAGGAATAATTAACAGTTAAATTGGAGAAGAGCCCATAATAGTTGCAATTATGAAGACTGCAATTATGAAGACTAAACAGGTTTCACAAATAATAAGTGCTTAACAATATACCACGGAAATAGATTTTAAAAGATAGAGCAAAAATACTACAATTAAAACAACCAGCTCTCTTTCTGCAAACCGTCTAGAAAAAGCAGGACGTGGGGCGCCTGGGTGCGCAGTCGATTAAGCGTCCGACTTCAGCCAGGTCACGATCTCGCAGTCCGTGAGTTCGAGCCCCGCATCAGGCTCTGGGCTGATGGCTCAGAGCCTGGAGCCTGTTTCCGATTCTGTGTCTCCCTCTCTCTCTGCCCCTCCCCCCTTCATGCTCTGTCTCTCTCTGTCCCAAAAATAAATAAACGTTAAAAAAAAAAATTAAAAAAAAAAAGAAAAAGCAGGACGTGTTACAGAATGAAAAAACTCACCAGTGAAGCAGGGCTGAGGGATGTCGTCCAAGGAGTAATCAGCCCCTCTTCCCCACACTGGGGCCTCCCCTCCGTCGCAGGACACTGCTTCTGGACCTCGAAGCTCACAGCTTTTTTTTTTTTTTTTTTTTTAATGTTTATTTTTGAGAGAGAGAGAGCACAAGTGGGGGAGGGACAGAGAGACAGAGGGGGACAGAGGATCCAAAGTGGATTCTGTGCTGACAGCAAAGAGCCTGATGCAGGGCTTGAAATCACGAGCTGTGAGATCATGACCTGAGCCAAAGTCAGACACTTAACCGACTGAGCCACCCAGGCGCCCAGCACAGTTCTTCTTAAAGAGAAAGGGCCACCTTCCCAAGATCGTGGCCATAAGAATGTGAGGATCAAATGACCTTCCCCTAGCTCATCAATGAGCCCAAGGAAAGCTGATCGCCAGGCCATGTGGGCCCAGTCGCAGGGTCCCCCCGGGGCCTGGCGCCCACTTTCCTGCCGCTCCAGGGCAGTTGCAACCATGCCCTCCGCGGGAGTCTGGCCTCTCCCCTTTCAGCACCACAGGCCCAGAAGTCATCCAGATGCCATCTCATCCTCCCCACCTCAGCCACTTGAACCAGCCGAGAGAGGAGACCCCACAGGCCCTCGATGGCAGCCCGCCTGCCACTGGGCCCGGAGCAACCGAGAACACGAGGCCCCAGGTCTCACGGGGCACCCATTCTGTGGCTGCGGGGCTGAACGGGCGCCTGCTCGCCCGCCCCCTTGTGCCCAGCTGACCCGGGTTAAAGTGAACCGCACGGCATTAAGTCGCTAAGCCTCCCGGGGAGGTAGGTCACCCTCAAACACATTATCCCCCCTCAACAGATGGGGAAATGACGCCACAGGAAGATTAAATAACCCACCGGCCTCACACAACCCGCCGCAGGTGGAGCACGAGGTGATCCCAGCCCTCGAGCCGGCTCAGGGGTCCAGAATGCTCCAGATAAAGCCCTCCCGGCGACGGGGACTTGCACAGCAGAGCCAAGAAAGAAAGAAGCAGAGGGCCCCTGCTGAAAGCCACTCCAAGTGTCCCTCTTTTCCCGTGTGTCCCCAGAACACCGTGTAAGAGGATGCTTTTCAACCACAAGCATGAGAGGGGTCGGAGTGTGAGTGTGGGTGCAGAGAAGACTCCTTCCTTCGATGAGTACTTACATATCTAATGGGGGCAAGTCACTGACACACAGAATGAACTGGACCATCCTCCAGTCAAGAGATGTCATCGAGTGTACGTAAATCACATAAATACAAGTGGAGATTAGTACAGGCACAGCAGGGGGGCTGGTAGTGGTTGATGATGGGAGCTCACGTCCAGCTGTGGCTACAGTTGGGGATACAGGGGCAGGTGACCAGGCTATGAAGGGTGGGACAGTGACACCTGCAGGGGTGAGGAGAAGGGTATAGAAAGTGCAGGGAGATGACTCTGGCCTGCCCTGAAGACCTGGCTGAGGGGTGTGAGGGACCAAGGGCATGTCAAGTAGGGTTCAGGACTCAGGGTAGGAATGGCAGGTGGAAACCCTATCACCAAAGGCTTTAAGTGTGGGACTAAGGAGATTAAACTTCCCTCCTGGCCACAGTGCTCAGCACGGCGCCTTGCTCACAGTAGGCACTCATTACCGTTAAGGAGCAAACGCTGGAAGGCAATTTCATTCATGGCAAATGTACGACAACTGTAAAAGAATATTCCACAAAAATTGCCTTGATTCTTTTTAGGAGTTGATATCTGGCCAGGACTTTTTTTTAAGTTTTGAGAGAAAAAGAGCACAAGTGTGATGGGCAGAGAGGGAGGGAGACATAGAATCAGAAGCAGGCTCCAGGCTGCGAGCTGTCAGCACGGATCCTGACGCTGGTATTGAACTCACAAGCCGGGAGCTCATAACCTGAGCTGAAGTCAGATGCTCAACCGACTGAGCCACCCAGGCGCCCCTGATCAGCACAACTTCTAAATTTAGTTTAATGATCTAAAGTATTTGCTGGGGTGCCTGGGTAGCTCAGTCAGTTGGCATCCAACTCTTGATATCGGCTCAGGTTATGATCCCAAAGATGGACTCTGCACTGAGCATGGAGCCTGCTTGAGATTCTCTCTCTCTCTCTCTCTCTCTCTCTCTCTCTCTCTCTTTCTTCTTCTTCTTCTTCTTCTTCTTCTTCTTCTTCTTCTTCTTCTTCCTCTTCTTCCTCCTCCTCCTCCTCCTCCTCCTCCTCCTTCTTCTTCTTCTTCTTCTTCCCCTCTCCCCCACTTGTGAGCTCTCTAAAATAAAAACTAATACAAAATAAGAGGCACCTCAGTGGCTCAGTTGGTTGAGTGTCCAACCTTCGGCCCAGGTCATGATCTTACCGGTCCTAAGTTCGAGCCCCACATTGGGCTTGCTGCTGTCAGCATAGAGCCTGCTTTGGATCCTCTGTCCCACCCCACCCCCGCCCTTCCCCCACCTGTGCTCTCAAAAATAAAGCATTAAAAAGGAAAGAATAGCACCCTGGGCTCAATTACAAATGGAGTGGAAAGAATAATTTCAAAAGTTCAAGAAGAAAAAAAAAATCAATCTATTTCCTTCCCCCAAAGCTTTCACTTCTATAAATACACTCATCCAAATGGAGGGAAGACCATTCTTATGAAAACACTACCTGTCTGGAATTTGCAAGATAAACGATGTGCCCATCTTGCTTTCAAAGCACCAAAGCTCAAACAATGCTCTCCAGTAGCTTCTCTCTCAAGTAATACTCACTTATCCCCAAGGATTGTAACAGTAATACATGTATCTGGCAGAAAACTATGAAATTCCAGTCGACTCTTGAACAACATGGATTTGAACTTTGTGGATCCACTTACACGTAAATTTTTTCCCAATAAAGTACTGTGTGTTCCTAACATTTTCTTTTCTCTATCTTAAAGAATACAGTATGTAATACATATAATGTACAAAATACATGTTGCTTATCATTAAGGCTTACAGTCAAGAGTAGGCCATTAGTCAAATTTTGGGGGTGTCAAAAATTACACATGGGAGGCACTTGGGTGGTTCAGCTGGTTAAGCATCTGCCTCTTGATTTCGGCTCAGGCCATTATCTCACAGTTTGTGGGTCTGAGCCCCACATCGGGCTCTGCGTCGACAGTGTAGAGCCTGCTTGGAATTCTCTCTCTGCTTCCCTCTCTGCCCCTCTCCTGCTCGTGCACACGCTCTCTCTCAAAAATAAACTTAAAAAAAATTACGCATGGATTTTTGACTGTGTGAGGGGTTGATGCCCCCTAACCCTGGATTATTCAAGGGTCAAATGCTCACAGAAAAAGGAAGCAAGATGGAGGCCAGCTTCTTGATCTTTTGGCTGTTAGTGCTGACAAGTAAAAGGGTGGAAACGTGGGGACTGAAAGCACTGGTGGCTGGACTCAGCATTGCAGTGTCGTCACCAGCCTCTGCAATCCAAGAAGCAGTCTGGGGCAGACGTGGCGTCTTGACGCCCGGCTGGCAACCCCAGCTGTGCACTTTTTTCAAATGTTTATTTATTTACTTCGACAGAGAGAATCCCAAACAGGCTCCATACCATCGCGGGCCTCGATCCCACAAACCGTCTTGATCTGAGCCCAGATCAAGAGTCAGATGGCCGACTGAGCCACTCAGGTGCCCCCCAGCCTTGTGTTCTTGAACTCACAGAGCCAGGGGCAATCTCCCGATTCCCACCTGTGCAGCCCTTTCACAATTTTATAGCATTCTATCCATGCATCAAATCCTCTTTTTAAAGAGGTCTAGAACCATTTGTTTTCCGTACTTCACTTTGATTCATCTCTCTCAAAAACGTGCTTTCAGAGCTGACCCCTGCCCTCTGTGGGCCCGAGCCAGGCAGAGTAACCGGCATTGTCAATCTCATCCTCTGACCGGCTCCTCTGCCGGTCTCTTCCTCTGACCGGCAGCCTCAAACTAAACTGGCCCCCTTCGGCAACCCCACGACACAGGTGACCCACAGCTACTGGGAAAGCCGGAGGCCTCCTCTTCCAGCCCAGCTGGGCTGCGTGGCCCTTCCAGACTAGGCATCACAGCTCTCTTCACAGCCCTCTTTATTAACACTGATCCATTAGATCTGGCCTAGGGTTCAGCCTGCGAGATCTGTTGGCTCGGACTTCCCCAGGCCCCACCCTCCCACAGGAACCGCCTGCCATTTATAATCACAGCGACACCAGAGGGGAGAGGTGAAGTCCAACATGGTGATCACTTTATGTTTCCACCAAACACAAGCACGACTTGAGATGCTGCTTCTGGCTTCGTACCCACGCCAAAGCAAGGCTTCTTTTTCCTTCTCATTTTAAAAATAAAAATAGAAATGAACACAAGTAGTGGCTCCGTGTGGCCAAAATGCTCCATCTGGAAAGCACCCTCTAGGTGATCCTCCTCCGCTTTGACTGGCGGTCCGAGGTCTGGGCTGGAGGCAGCGGGATGGACAGAGTGCCCAGTTTGTGATCCTCCTCCCCGCCAGCTGCCAGAGACACCCTTCTCTTAGAGATCTTCAGCCTCATGGCCCTCGCTATCTCCATCATCCTAAGGAGCAAACACACAGAACAAAAGGGAGGGAGTGTCCTCAGCAGGTCTGCCCTTGGCAGGGGGAGCAGCATTCACACTCCGGCCCGTGAAGACAGAATCCCCAACGGCCACCAGGAGCAGAGCAGAGAAGCAGACAAGATCTGCTCCAGAGCCATCAAAAAGACAAGGTAATGTAATGTAATGTATCTTATTTATTTGTAAAAGATTTTTATTTTTAAGTAACCCCTACACCCAACGTGGGGCTCAAACTTACAACTCCGTGATCAAGAGCTGCACACTCCACTGAGCCAGCCAGGCGCCCCAAGACAATTTCATTTTAATGTGTTGCTATTAGCAAGTATCCATATAGGTGATGGAAAACCAGGTTATCTAGACACAATTAATAACTTTGTTTACTTCTGATAACCAGGATTGAGCACTTGCTACAATTTTGCTAGAACTTTACAGGCTCCGAGCATCTTGTTTCTCTTTTATTTTCCACCTCAATGCCTATTAGAATGCCTTTTGTGGACGGCCCTCAGGATAATCCCTCCAGGGACTGCTAGAAGAGCCCAGACAAGGGTATTCTCGCTGGCTCTCTTGGAACACCATCGGGGGCCTTGGATACCAGACGCTCTTAAATCACCCAAAGGCCAGCATATCCCACAGTTCAGGATCCTGGAAAGTTCTGCCTGCTTTGTCCGAATCCTTCCTAGCAAGGCTGGAAAAGGCCCAAGACCACAACTCTGCCAACTCTCCCAGGACCCTCCGAGCCTGTCCCTGCTCCTCAGCAAGGCTGTGGGGTCATAGAAGCCCCAGTGTGATATCCCTGACAAACAGTGGCCCCACCATGCCTGGCAGCCCCTTCAGTCCGACTCTGAGGACATTCTTTTTGCTAGGCTGAAATTGGGTTCTCTTACAACTCCCACCCCTGGGCTCCACCCCTCAGGACCATACAGACCCCCTCTCCCCAGTGACAGCAATTCAGAGACTGCTGGGTTATCCAGGGACAGAATGCTATGGGAAGGCTCAGGCTCGAAGCCTAACTATTCCCCCCCTCTTGGTCGTGTGACGCTGGGAGTCACTGACTTCTTTGAACGGAAGGTTCTCCCATTGGTTTTTAGGAAAATCACTGAGATCGTGACAGATTTAATACTGTACGTAGAATAGACAAGGCACTTGGTAATGTCTTGGTTGTGCATCCATTTAATCACTCATTCGCTGACAACTGTCCTCTGGCCCGTATCAAATGTCCCCAGGTCCCTTGATGGTGCTTCCTGCTTTCCAGTAGTACTAGAAATACTAAGCACCCTACAGGGAGCTTATTACTCTGTTGCGCTCACCTTCTCTCGCTGAGCTTCAAGTCCCTCTGTAACAGTGTCAGGTCAATCTGGAAGTCGCTTATGTGCAAAGCCAGTATGATTACATACGCGGTGACCTTCGCCTTCATCGAATCCGAAATTAAGTTCCGTAGGCTACAAAATCAGTGGCAGTGAAGGAGAGACAGCAGTAAACTCTAAGATGATTATTCCAGAAGCGGAATAAAAACATCCAAGCCTGTTCTCATGCACACTCATTGTCCTCCCACCTTGGGGAGAAGAAATCTGAGCAACATTCCTTGTCCGGGCAAGGTACCCATGCCTTCATGCACAGTGGGGCGATGAGCCAATCCCAGTGTTCCCTCCGAGTGGGCCACAGCTACACTTTCCCCAGGCACAGTTAGGGCTTCTCAAGGACACAGACCCTCAGAGCGTGTCCCCACTGCTCAGCAGGGAGGCTGGGAAAACAGTCATCCCAAATGCAAAGGGCACTGGCCTGCCCTTTTCTGCAACACTGCCTTTCCATAGAACATTGGTTCTATGAGATATTAGGAAAGGTTCCCTGGAGAAGTGTATGAAGTGAAAGAAGTCTCCAGCTGCAGGACTTCCCAGAGCCTCTAACGTGAACTTCTCCAAGGGGGACAGAGCATGTAATCCATAGCATTTCCTCAACTGATTTGAGGAAGACCCTTGCAAAGGGCAGTGAGTGCTCTCCTCAGCAGTGTCCGTGGACATGGGATCCAACCCATGCGCTCGTCCCCACTCCCACTGCCCTCCCCAGCCCGCTTTCTCCTTTAGAGGCAGGAGCCCCAGAAGCCAATCCCCCTGACCTGCCGTTGTTGTAGGTCAAGCAGGTGAAGTGCTTCAGCAGCTTGGTGCTGATGATGTGGGGGACCCCAGGTCCCAGGGCACCTACAACACAAAGCTGAGTTTGAGCATGTTTCCAAAACCTCACACCACAGCATCTCCATGAGGAGATGCTGACCAGCAGTTGGGCCACTACAATGAATGGAGCCATGTGGTAAGAGAAGCAGGGCCCATGAAACAGAAGAGCCACTTCCCAATGAAAACTGCACACGCCCGAGAGACGTTTGTGATGGGGCAGAGACAGGGAGGAAAACCAGACTCCAATGAGGCCTAAAGATCTAGAATTCATAAGATGTTACAAAGCAAAATAGATAGTGGAGAAAGCCCAAGGAGAGGGAAAGGAGGAGAGACTGAAATGTGAAAATAAGAAGCAGGCAAATCCTGAAAACTGTTACAGATTCTTGGGAGCTCAATCACAGTAACAAGACGGCATCACCTTGTGCCTAAAACCACAGGTGGGTTTCCAGCGCTGGGTGGATGTGGGGCATCCAGCATGGCCCTAGACTTGTGACACGTGTTACCAGCGGGAATGGACTCTCTTCCTTGTCAGTCAGAAATACGCGGACACACATAAACCTGCCATAAGCCATCATATGAACAAAGCCAGTTTTTCTCCCCAGAGAGCTCACGTTTGCCCAACAGTCCCTTAAAATTTTCATGATTTGACTGGATACTATACTTTGCCCCACGCAGACGAGAAGTAGTGGATGCCAGCTCTGAACAAAGGTACAACCCAGCCTATCCCCATTTTCAGAAGAGGAGAGAGCTGGGCCGGTCCTTTCAGTCTGCCGGCATGACTACAGGAACCTCACTTTTACACAGTCACAAATAAAGATCAAGACAATCATATCCATTTTCTTCTCTCATTACAGCTAGTCTAATAGACAAGTAACAGGCTAGAAATAACTAGAATAAAATGTCTATCATGGACTTACTTTTCCGCTTAATCACTTTTTGTGCTCGAAATTTGATGAGCGTGTCCAGAAACCATATGCATCGGGCCTGGCGGTCTCGGCTCTCCTCATCAGATGGCAAAGACTTCAACGCTTCTATGACAAAGGAGCAGTGGCTAAAACGGGGGAAGAGACAATGGAGGGATGCATGAGACCGGCTCTGTCAGGAGCCATTCATGCTGTCAATGAAAACAGCAGGCATCCTTCACAGCTGATACACACTCAACAGTCGAGGAAGGGCCGTCCTATCAACGCTCCTTATAACACAGTGAGCATGGTTTAGTGCCAAGGCAGTAAAGGACTAGACAGTAAATATTTGTGGTTTGTGGGCCATATGGTCTCTGTTCCATCTACTCAAAGCTGCCACTGCAAAAGCAGGCATTAATAATACATAAATGAATGACCATGGCTGTGTTCCAATAAAACTTTATTCACAGACAGCAGGCCAGACTTGGCACACAGGCCGTGGTCTGCCCCATCCTGATGTAGTGGTCTGGAGCACAGGCTCTTGAGTTAAAATGCCTGGTTTTGAACCCCCTCTCTGCCATTCAGTGGCCTGGGCAAGTTTCTGTACATCTTCTATACATCTCTGTACATCATCTCCACCCAAAAATTTAAGGCAATGATAGTAGCTTCAGAGTAGGGGCTTTCTGTGCATTAAATGAGATAATGCAAGTAAAGTGTCTAGAACAGTACTTGGCACATGTAAGAGCTCCATCTATGTTAGCTATTATTTTTATGTACTATTCTACCACTACGAGGATCCTGGACTCAGAGAGATAACGAAGCTCTTTAAGAAAGTGGCCTCGTTTTACAGATAGGAAAACTGAGGCTCAGTGGAGGGAAGATCACACAGATCACACCGTACCTTGGGCAGAGCTCAGGGACTTATTTCTTCAAACTCAGCCCAGAGCTCATTCCTGCACCTGCTGCTGAACCACAACTACATTAAGACAACCAAGAACCAGTAATAAACTTTTCTGGAAATGAATCTTTGGAGGGGAAAAAAAGAAAAAAAGCACTTTCAAAACTCAAGGAACTTGGGGCACTGGGTGGCTCAATCGTTTAAGCCTCTGACTCTTGATTTCAGCTCAGGTCATATCTCATGGCTCATGAGTTCAAGCCCTGTATCAGGCTCTGCACTGAAAGTGTAGAGCCTGCTTGGGAGTCTCATTCTCTCTCTCTGCCCTTCTCTCCCCTTAAAAAAATCGGGGAACCAACCTGGGGTTTGTAGTTTTTTATTTTCTCAAGATAAAATTATTAAAAGGAAAAACTCAAGAGCAAAAAAATTCCACTATCATCAAAAAAAAAAAAAAAAAAAAAGCTGCTTTTAAAGGCCCAAGGAGGGTGGAGAGATAATCTGAATTATTTAAAATATACAGTACTTATTTATTTTTTTTAAGTTTACTTATTTTGAGAGAGAGAGAGAGAGAGAGCGGGCGAGCATATGTGGCATGAGTTGGGGAGGGGCAAAGAGAGAGACAGCATCCCCAGCAGGCTCTGTACTCCTGATTTGGGGCTCGAACTCATGAACTGTGAGATCATGACTTGAGCCGAGATTAAGTGTTGGCCGCTTAACCGACTGAGCCATCCAGGCACCCTTTAAAATATACAGTATTTAAATACATAAATTTAACTTTAAGTTAAAATGCTCACTCAGCACACCATCACTTCCACTGGCACCTACTCGCAGGCTCGCACGCGGGCCCCACCCCACTGGTGACAATCACTATCAGCATAACACTGGGGACATGGGCCAGCTCTAGTTCCAAGCCCCAGACCACAAGGCCCCACCACCCTCTGCCCAGCCACAGGCTCCAGGTACTCAGAGGCCACCTCTCTCTCCCTTGAATGCCACCCACAGCCTTGGGACAAGAAGCCTGAAGGCCCAAACATTTTCAAGAAAACACTGGCTCATTCACGTTGAAATGCTGAAAAGACATACACCCTCACTGACCGACATCCCTAAAAATCCACTTCACCTGACTACTGTCATGTTCTGACATCACTGCCCCAGACACTCCATCCACCCAGGGGGTTGAGGGGTACCTGTTCTCTTCGATCATCTTCAGGATTTCCTCTGATGAGACATTCCTGAAAGCTTCAGATGGGCTTTGAAGAGCTTCATACTCAGCAGGGGAGAGAACTAGTCACAGGTCAAGAACACAATCTGACCAAAATGGCAACATCCAACTGGCTAGCTCATCTCAGAGGGGCCTCGTTTTAGAGATGGGACAGCTGAGGCCCAGATGGGGGAAGATCACATAATACACTGGGGCTGAGCGCAGGGTCTCGGTCCTTCAGACTCCCAGCCCAGAGCCCATTCCCTGCCTGGGCTTTTCTGCCTACCCGGCTTATCACAAAGCTACCGCAGGCATTTTCCCTCTGACTAGACGCACAAGTAGGGAAATTCTATGCTCCAGCCCTACCTTTTACAAATCAGTCTGTCTTAGACTTAAGGCACTAGTTGACTTAGAAGTCTTATCCTGACTACTGACAGAGAATGACCTCAGCACTTTGCTGAGGAATGGGTTTGAATCTCAGGGGCGGAGGGCCAGTCCCACAGCTAGTGAGGAAGCCTAGCTGACTACCCAGCGACAGCGCTGGAGCGAGCGCAAAGGTCTGGATGTAGCTTCCGTGAGCATCACGGGACCACCAACATACCAGAGAGCCTGTTTGCCCACTCATGTATACACGTCCCAACCTGGGAAATAAAGCAGCGTTTCTACTGCAACAAGGATACGGTCTTCAAATTTATACACGTCTTCAGGCTTGGCTGCATCAGCATGGCAGGGAGGAAGGTACAGGGAGTCATCTTGCAGTTCATCACGGATGGCATCACTGACCAGAGCTTTTTAATAAAGGAAGAGATGGTGTCGGTATCATCCATTTGGCTGCAGGTTCCCCAATACACTATATAACTTAATGTCCTCAAGATCGTAACTGGTCCGGAAACTCCTCATTGGAATGCTTCTGCCAATGTGGCCTGACCTCCCCATCAGGCTGACAGCTCCAGCTATCATGACACAAACCTAACCAGGCACTGGATAAGGTGCACACGGTGTGGTCCCCCTCAAGCGACTTGTAATATAGTTGGGAAAGGCAGGTGTACCGATAAGTATTTACAATAGAAGAGAAGCTAAAAGTGAGGGATATTCAAAAGAGTCTTTAATGGCTCCAGAAAACTTCCCCACATATTGTGAGTAAAAACAAAAAACCAGAATATAAAACTGTGAACTAGCCTACAAGGATAACCATTAAGAATTAAGTATGCAGGGGCGCCTGGGTGGCGCAGTCGGTTAAGCGTCCGACTTCAGCCAGGTCACGATCTCGCGGTCTGTGAGTTCGAGCCCCGCGTTAGGCTCTGGGCTGATGGCTCAGAGCCTGGAGCCTGCTTCCGATTCTGTGTCTCCCTCTCTCTCTGCCCCTCCCCCGTTCATGCTCTCTCTCTGTCCCAAAAATAAATAAACGCTGAAAAAAAAAAAAATTAAAAAAAAAAAAAAGAATTAAGTATGCATATAGACGTGGACAGATAGGAATACGGGAAAATTATAATAGTTGGTCTGGAAAAATGATGAGAAACGGGTGAATTATTTTTCTTTTTAGACGTCCTTTGATAGCTGACAGTAAACTCAACAAAAACATTAAAAAATTTACTCATGTAAATGCAACAAAAACATTAAAAAATGTCCTCATGTGGGGCACCTGAGTGCTCAGTCGGTTAAGCGTCCGACTTCGGCTCAGCTCATGATGTCACGGTCCGTGAGTTTCGAGCCCTGCGTCAGGCTCTGTGCTGACAGCTCAAAGCCTGGAGCATGCTTCAGATTTTGTGTCTCTTTCTCTCTGCCTCTTTTTCTCTCTCTCAAAAATAAACATTAAAAAAATATTTTTTTAAATTTACTAATGCTTTCAAATAAATGGAGAGACATATTTTTATGTTCCTGGATAAGAAAACATAATATTATAAAGATGATGATTCTCTCCATATTAATCTCAATTGCGTTTTGAGGGAATTTGACAAAATAATTAAGATCACCTGGGGAAAAAGCATGTTACTCTAATGTTTGCAAAAAATAAAAGGAAGGAGTAGGAGGAACTTGCCCTATCAGAAAATAAACCGGATGATGAGGCTACTGAAATCAAAACAGCCTCATGCTGCCACGGGAACAGAATGGACAATGGAACAGAACACAGACAGAATGTGCTAAAGTGAGAAGGAGGACTTTCTAAATCATCTTCTACAAGAAAAGGATGGAGTTGGGGACAGCTGGTTAATCATTTAGAAAATATAAAATTAGGTCTCTACCATATGCCAAAATAAGTCTTAAGCTTTAAGTGTAAAAAGTAAAATTATGAAAGTACTGCAAGAAAACATAGGAAAATATTTATATGATCAGAGGGTTTGGAAAGATTTTCTCAAAATTACTAAAATCCCACTCTAATAGAAAAACCGCTCTTATGTAAACCTCTTACGTTCTTATAATGCATTTGAGCAATAAATACGTTTTAAAATAATACAATTAAATACTCAAGCTGCTGACGAATTTAGGAACAGAAAAAGGTCCACTGGCACCAAAGTGAAGCCCTGTCTCCAGAGGGTTAATCAGCACCAGCATCACCTTGGTCTTTTTCCCCAAAACCTCCCTGTGCCCAGAGCACCCTGCCAGCTGGAACCCTGGCACCAAGGACACGCAGACACACATCCATTCCCATGCCTGTCTCCTCTACTTGGCTGGGAGCTCCCCAAGGGCAGATGTTTCTTACTACTTCCAGAGTCTGTTCCCAGGAAAGCACTCAGTGAGAGGAAGGAATCCAGCCCGAATGCCCATTATTTCCATCTGTGGGGCAGGTAAAAGATCTCAAGAGAAGAGAAAGTGGTCTCTATGAGCAGACTCTTACCCAGGTCCCAGCTGCTTACCAGTCACACCCTTTGCATCAATAATATTCTCTGCGGCTTTAGCTACTGCACAATTCAGAGATTCATTGCCAACTCTGTTCATTCTTCTGGAATTCAAAGCCCGCTTCTGTTTGGTGGTTCCAAAGGCTTCAATGCAAGAATCCATCTGTGCAGGGACAAATGTGGTCTGTCTAGGGACAGGTTGGGCACTACTATTCCTGTGTGACTATGGGGAAACCCTCGGCCTTTCTGAGCCATGATTATTACCTCACTTGCAAATTGGGCTGAACCATATGTATCTATCTCCCAGGATTCTTGTATTAACAGATCTGAAGTACTTGCTTTATAAACTGTCAGGGGGTATTTACAAATCAACAGTGTCTCCATTTGTAAAGTAAAAAGACCAGAATTAGGATTGGTAAATCTGTGGCATACAGCTTACTGTTTTCCAGCCCTGTACCCATAGCAGATGTTGCTAATCACTCATTCTTTCCCTCTGAGCCTGAAGACAGCCTCATACCCGCTCTCAACACTGCTCCAGGCAGTACTGAAGATTCAATCAATTGCCATCCTGGGGTGAGATGAGCTTTGCAGAAACCGCCTACCTTGAAAATCTTGAAGTTTACTTTTGTTTTAATGAGAAAGTTTCCAGGCTACAACCAGTATTTTCTGAAACTTGGATTAAATCCAAAACCAAGTATTATGCTACACCTATATCAGCCCAGAGAACCAGTTCCACACACTGGCACAGAGCAGCGTATAGCTGTCCCACATGGAAGGATGGCTCTGTGAGGCCATGGAGGCCTCTGCAGGTGGCCTGGCCAGAGAACCACAGACTGAATGAGCTGGGAGCAGCCCTATGTTCGGCCAGCTCATTATACTGATGGGAAAACGCAAGGCCTAGAAGGAACGCATTTCGGGTCCCACATCTCAGTTCTGTCACACTTACCTTTTCTCTAAAAGTTCTGGCCTCATTCTCTCGTGTCGAGTCACTCTCGACTGATTCATCTATCAAAACACAAAACAAACAAAAACAGAGAGGAAAAAAAAGTGAGCTGTAAGGCCCACAGATTATAATAGTGTTTAATATTTATTTTAACAGCCAATCTCAGAAAAACAGATTTCTTTACTTCAGGATTTCCCAGAGTATAATATAATGGATCCTGAAAACAATTAGTCTGTGGCTTTAGTACAGTCAGAGGATTTGGAGAATAAATTAAGAAGTCAAATGAGGGGGTCATCTGGTCCAACGTTCATTTTACAAATAAGGAAAACTGAAGCCTCCAGATGAAATAATTTGCCCCAAGTCTGTTGACCAGGCAGTGGCCAAGATGGGATTAGAAACTAAGTCCTTGGGGGGCGCCTGGGTGGCGCAGTCGGTTAAGCGTCCGACTTCAGCCAGGTCACGATCTCGCGGTCCGTGAGTTCGAGCCCCGCGTCGGGCTCTGGGCGGATGGCTCAGAGCCTGGAGCCTGTTTCCGATTCTGCGTCTCCCTCTCTCTCTGCCCCTCCCCTGTTCATGCTCTGTCTCTCTCTGTCCCCCAAAAAATAAATAAACGTTGAAAAAAAAAATTTTTTAAAAAGAAACTAAGTCCTTAGTTCTTTCCAGTAAATAGTTTTGCCCTCCTTATAAAAGACCTAAAAGTAGGTAAGCATAAATGTGAGGTATGTATTACTTACATAAAGCTCTCAAATCTCCCATAAAGTATTTATATATAAGGGGCAGTATAATCTAGTGGACACAGGAGCATAAGCTCTAGAGTGACCTTGCCCGAGTCTCAATCCCAGGTCATATATACATACACGACATGATATGGTACTTTACATAGACATAGAAAGCAGCATTGTGTCCCTGCCAAGTTGGTTCACTTCTGTGCCAGTTTTGTCATTGATAAAACAACCAGAGGGTTATGTGAAGTAAATGATGTAGTGCACTGAAAGTGCTTAGAACAGTGCCTAGCACATAGGCACTTAATAAATGTTGCACGTGTGTGCATGTATGTGTATACACATACATATGTGTGTGTGTATGTGTATATATTTATATATATAATATATATTATGTGTATGTGTATATATTTTTATATATAATATATATTATGTGTATGTATATATATATATATATGTATATATATATACACTGTCCCAAATAAACCATTATTTACACATTTTTTTACATGTAAAAACAAAAATTTGTTTGATCAGCAAATTAATGAACAATTTCCTTTGCCTCTTGGGAAGTTGGTAGAGCATTTGCAGGATAATCTAAATGCAGTTACATATGTTTGCAAAGCAAGGAATTCTTTTTTTTTTTTTTTTAAGTTTGTTTGTTAATTTTTGAGAGAGAGAAAGAGAGAATCTCAAGCAGGATCTGCACTGTCAGCACAGAGCCCGATACAGGGCTCAATCTCATGAACTGTGAGATCATGACCTGAGCCAAAGTTGGACACTTAACCTACTGAGCCACCTAAGTGCCCACAAAGCAAGGAATTCTAAGAATTCCTATAGACTATAACCTATAGACTATGGATCCCTGAAATTCACAAATGGGTTTCAGGACTCAAATGCCCTTTACAACTGTATGCAAAATCTCATACATATTCTTGTATATTGTGTGTGTTTCCAGGAGGTAAGTCCAGGTCCCTCAGATTCTCGAAAGCACTGGCACCACTGCTCTTCGGGAATGAAGTTGGAACCACTGTCTCTGAAGGTATCTGGCAGATCCACCAAGACCCTAGCAATCCTTCCTCATCTCTACCCTCCTCACCATGGTTCGCAGTATTTAAGATTTAGAGAACAGGAACCCCTTGAGTCTGACCCTCCAACCTTCTGGAAGATCCCACTCCAGTCTGGAGCATTCTGAGATGCCAAAGCAGAGAAACAGTACAAGTTCTCCCTCTGGATTAGGGTAAAAATGGATCTCTGCTTAAATTAGAAAGCATAGAGGGGCACCTGGGTGGCTCAGTCGGTTAAGCATCTGACTCCTGATTTCAGCTCAGGTCATGATATCACAATTTGTCACGGAGCCCACTTGGGATTCTCTCTCTACCTCTCCCTTGTTCTCTCTCTCAAAATAAAAAAAAATAAAAATGAAAAGTTACTGTCCAACCCATAAGTAACTCCCATCACCTGCTAGAGACCCTAAAACCTCTACTCCAACCAGAACAGTTAAGAGTTTTAAAAAAGGCCTTTGAATGAAAAAAAATATTGGACATGCCCGCCAATATTCTGCTCTGATCATTGCTCAACTGACTTTAACTAAAATTATTTTCTGATCTCAAATCTGTAAACACTGAAGGGACAGGATCTGTGTCTGTTTTGCTACATCCCCAGCCCCTAACTTGTGCCTGGAACATAGTAGGTCATCAATAAATATTTGCAGAAAGGCACCCTTTTAAAAATACAAAATATGTTTTAGAAATCGACAACTAACTCGTCCAGCAAACCTAAAATATACAGTGTTTTTGTGAGCCTTCATGACTGGGACCTACCTGAAAACAGTGGCTGCATGTTGAACAATTCAGCATCATACACCTCCATCTGGCCAGAGGTCTTGTTCAGGACTCCCACAAAGTGCCTGAATAAAGAAGGAGTAATACCAATGGTAATGGATTATTCAAAAGGTATTGTTTATACAACTTCCTTTTTCCTGCTTAAAAGTACTCAAGGGTCTTTCTGCCCCAGTGCACTTGAGGAACACATCACTTGTTGCCGAGTAACCATGATCCCCAAGAGCAGCAATTCTTAGCATGAGAGGGAAAGGAGCGAAGGAAGGAGGGAATTCAAGAGGTGGTTCTGGAAGAAAAAAAAAAAAAATGCTACCAGGTGATTCTGGTAGCCAATCACACTTGTGCTCATTGCTATAGTGGGAAACTATTTGGAGATATAAAAATCTAGAATTACACTAGAATTTACTGCACATGTAAATTTTATGGAGGCAAAGACAAGTAAAACCTTGGTAATTATGGGGAGAAGACCAGTCTGAACTAGAGAATCTTTGTAAGGGCATGATGTGGTGGTAATGGTTTTAAGTACATACACATTAATCTGACCTCTAGCAGGGTGGTTTGATGGGGGCTTTGAAAAGGCCTTTTTTGTGCTTCACGGTTGGACACTATCAGAGGAACACTGCCTGTGTTATGCCAGCGCCTGACAGTTACAGTCTGTTCGGGTGAACAATCTTCATTGCACCCGGGGAGAGAGCGGGGGTCAGTGAAGGACAGAGCTGTCCAAAGTCAGTTGATCAGTAGTAGAGCTGGAAAGAAACCCTGCAGTCTTTGACACTACCAAATGCTTTTCTTGGAGTTAGTTCCAGGAAAAATTTCTGGCAAGCTTTGGCCTATTGATCACATATTTCAAATAAGTGGAGATGGCTGCCTTTTGGAAACAAGACAATTATAAAGGATACTGCAAATTAATGAGGTGGTCAAAACGTAATTTCAGTTACAAAATAAATAAGCCCTGGGAATGTAATGTACAGCATGGTGACGGTAGCTAATAATACTATATTGTACATTTAAAAGTTGTTGAGAATAAATCTTAAAAGTTCTGATCATAAGAAAAAAATTCTAACTATGTGTGGTAATGGATGACTATACTTACTGTGGTGACCATTGTGCAATATATACAAATATCTAATCATTATGCTATATACCAAAACTAATATGTTATATTATATCTCAATTTTTTTAATTATTATTTTTAAGATTTTATTTTACTTTTTAAAAATGTTTATTTATTTAGTCTGGCCAGGGTTGGGGGGGGGCGGTTAGGGAGGGGCAGAGAGAGGGAGAGAGAGAATCCCAGGCAGGCTCTGCACTGTCAGCCCAGAGCCCGATGTAAGGCTCGATCCCCCAAACCTCAAGCCCGAACCTGAGCCAAAATTAAGAGTTGGACACTTAACCAACTGAGCCACCCAAGCACCCCTAAGATTTTATTTTAAAGTAATCTCTAAAAAAAAAAAAAAAAAAGAAAAGGGGCACCTGGGTAGCTCAGTCGGTTAAGCGTCCGACTTCAGCTCAGGTCACGATCTCGCGGTTCGTGAGTTCGAGCCCCGCGTCGGGCTCTGGGCTGATGGCTCAGAGCCTGGAGCCTGTTTCCGATTCTGTGTCTCCCTCTCTCTCTGCCCCTCCCCCGTTCATGCTCTGTCTCTCCCTGTCTCAAAAATAAATAAAACGTTAAAAAAAAATTTTTTTTAAATAAAGTAATCTCTATATTCAATGTGGGGCTCAAAATCACAACCCCGAGATCAAGAGTCACACATTCCACTGACTGAGCCAGCCAGGCACCCCTAAAAAATTGTAAATGAATGAGATTTGTTAGGAAATCCAACAAATGTAACTCGTTTTCCCTTCTCAGGCATGTCCACATGCTGCTGTGAGGACCTCTGGATCTGGGAACAAGGGACATGGTAAACCTCTCCAGATTTCCCCCACTGTCCCTAAAATAAAGAGCAAACACAGTACTGCCAGGCTCACCACCACTATCCTCCTCCTCCCACTGTCCCTTCCCCTATCCCTACCTGCACAGAGTGTTGCATTTGAGGGCTCCAGTCCCAAAATTGTTTCCCACATAGGAAAGTCTGTCTGTTTCAGCTGTCTAAAATGTAAAGGGAAAAAAACATCACTACAACCAATATTGAAAGGTATTAAGCATCTTGTCTCCCTTTCCCACATTTGTAAAAGCTTTAGAATCCAGAACCAGTGGATTAGAAGCAGAGAGCCTCTGGGAGATGATCTAGTCCCACCGTCCAAGTGAATCTGGGTGTCCCTAGGAGAAAGGCAAGAGGACTGTTGAAAGGGAAGCCCCAGACAGTGCTGGCTTCTATGTTGTCTGAAAAGTTCTCAGGGGAATTGCACCACAGGACTTGGGAGAGAGGTCCTGGGGTCCCAGCGCTTAGAGACATGCTACAAAATGGTTCTGCCAGCAACCTCTGGGCCCAAAGTCCAAGCCCTTCCTGAGCTTCTTGGCCCATTTCTCCCAGGACTATTCCTTATATATTCACAGGACTATGGAAACAGCTGATTCATTCCTCAATCACAGTCAAGCTTTCCTGCTTCCCTGTTTGTCCTTGCCATCCTCTCCACTTGGAATAGTAAACCTCAGCGGTCAAACCCTCCTCTACCCTTCAGAGCTCAGCTCCAATGCACTTTCTCCCGGGGAAGGCCTTCTGGCAAGCAGACTTCTCTGACTGAGCTCACTCTCCCTCCGCCAGGCTCTGAGCTTGTCTGCTTGTAGAAGTTACTGAACTCAAAACCAGTTCTCATCTCTCTACATCAGTGGTTCTCAACCAGGGGAAATCCTCTTCCGGGGATATCTGGGAATGTTTGATATTCTGACTGTCACAACTACAAGGTGCTACTGGTATCTAGTGGTTAGAGACCAGGGAAGCCGTTGAATGTCCTGCAATGCACAGGATGGGCCAACAACAAAGAATTATCTGGATCCAAATGTCAATGGTGCCAAGGTTGAAAAACCGTGCTCTAGAGTATGAGCTCCCTCAGAGTGGGGCCAGGTCCTACCTAGCTGTTTCCCTTGCAGCTTACAGCATAGGGCCATGTGGGTGTTCAACCAATGCTTGTCAAATGAATAAATCAATGAAAGGCCATCACTTCACCAAAAGTACATAACTGAATGGAGCCTGTCCCCACACCCCTGACCTGCTGGGACTCACAGGAGTTCTTCAAACACCCATTTGCTATCCACCACCACCCCTTTCTCCTCCTGCTTTGTCCCACATCCACCCGCACTCAAGCACCTCTAGGCCTCCAGAGGCCTGCAGAGTGGAGCCAATTGGCCACTGTAGCACTTACCAGGATCCGCTGACCTCTCTTCCTGGGGTTTGTGGAGTCATTGCTCTTGTACAAGGTAAAGCGCATGTTGCCTGGATTCTGCAGCTTCCCATTGGAGAACTGGACTGTAAGATTGCAGCCCGAGAATGAGATGGAAGTAGAAGGACCCACAGTGTATGCTGGGGAGGACCTGGACTGTCCTTGGGAGGGAGCGACTGAAGGAACGGGGATGGTAAGGAAACCCAGGTCCTGACCTAAAGGGGGGCTGAAGGAGGTCCTGGTCCAATTGGGAAGAGATGGAGAAGTGAGGGCAGTGCTGGGGAAGGGCTGTGGTAGAAGGGAATAACTAGGGGAACAGAGCTGAGGAGACCTGGGCCAGAGCTAGAGAGAAAGGGGAATTTCTGCCCAATAGAGAGGAGGAGATGGGGCAGGTGAGCGGGGAGGAGACGACAGGTACAGCTTTGGAGAAGAAGGTGGCTGGGATATCCTCATCCAGAGGAAGTGGTGACAGAAAGATGGTGGGATGGCAGAGGAGCCCAGGCCAAGTCCCAAGTAGTGGAGGAGACTAAAGGGGGTCTCGGTCCAGCGGGGAAAGGGGCCCGACAGGGGCGGGGGGACTGTAGAGGCACCCAGACGGAAGGGAAGAGAGCTACGGGGAACTCCGCTCCGGCGCCGCAGTCTTTACCCAGTACTGCTCTGTGGCTGTCGTCGGGCTCCCCACAGTACAGCCACCTCGCACTCGACAACACCTCCGCCGCCATCTCGCCAGTCCGGTCGCCAAGGTTAGGCGTTTACACGAACACCCCCCGGGCCGTGTTTGCCACTCCACATGCGACAGCAGGGCAACTGGACGGAAGAGGCGCGGCCTCACCCGCTCCGCCCCGCGCGTGCGGAGCCGGCGTGGCTCCTCCCCCCCGGCACCGCCCCCTACTCGCTCTTCCCGGGAATGCGGAGGCGCCGTTCCCGCCCACTCTTCGCCCCGCCCCGGAGAGGCGGGACTTCTGCCCACTACAGGCACGAGTCCTCTTTGCTGAACTAGCGCTCTGCCTGCGCGTTGAGGCTTGTGTGGGACTAAGAATCACCAGAGCCGAAGGGCCAAAGAAGCTCCTGTAAGCGTGGACCCAAAGAAGGGCATTTTTGAAGGGCAAGAAGTCAGGTCGTCTCGTCTGTTATCCAAGTTGCTTTCTTTCAAGATTCCACAAACGAGGTCACTAATCGTCCCAATAGTTTTTGCAGCAGAAAGAACCTGTCGGAAAACACAGGTTGCATTTAGTTGCCATAGCCCTTTAGTTTCCTTCAACCCAGAACAGTCCCTCACTCTGACTATAAACTTTAAATTTTAAAGATTACAGACCAGTTATTTTGTACAATGCCCCTCAATCTGGATTTGTCTAATGTTTCCAAGTGATTAGTTCCAGGTTATGCATCTTTGGCAGGATTATTACAGATACGATGCTGTTCTTCTCACTGTATTCTATTAAGTGGCACACAATTTCGATTTGTCTCATTACTGGTTATAGTAACTTTGACCACTTAAACCGCTTACAAGTTTCTCTGCTATAAAGGTATTCTTTTCCTTTTATAATTTCACTTTGTGCCTGCCCCTTATTTTTGTGGGCAGGTATTTAGAAACTAAAAATCCTGTGCATCACACTACCAATTTATTGATTTATTTATTTGCATCAGTCTGGACTTGTAGATTCCTATCTTATTCATTAGATTAGAATCTGCTACTATCATTTATTTTCAGGTTCAAATTATATCAGATTGGGCCAATGGGAACCCCATTAGGCCAGTTTCTGTGTTCTAGTAACATGTCCACATCATTTTTTTTTGAACATGTCCTTACTTTCTGGCACAAGATATTTCAGCTTATCTTGTAGTTTCCCTGCCCCAGCCCTGGAATCACTCATTTTTCTAAAGAGTTCTGGTTTCTCTTGGTAGGGAATGGTATTTAGAAACCAAGATCTATGTAGCAGGTATGGACTGCTTTGGGGATGTCACTGCTCCCAGGCCTCAATGAACTGAATTAGGGAATAGATGTAAGTAAACACACTTTTACAACTAAAAGTGATTTATTTCTAAAATTTAGAATTTCTAAATCCATATATATTGAAAGCCATCAGATCATACTGACCTCTAATTCCAATTCAGCACCTCAGGGTTTATTCTGATTTTCCTTCCTCCCATATTTGTAACTTCCTTCCCTGGCAGTGAGAAACCTGGTTCCCACTAGCCTTAATATATTATTTGATCAGCACCTCCTGTAGTATATCTCCTCTCACTACCACCACTACCGTCACCTGACATGGAGGCCTATTACCCCATGCAGGCTCCAACACCTTAAACCAAGCCTTAGTGCCTATGTGGATGCTGTATTAGTTCAGGGTTCTCCAGAGAAACAGAATCAGTAGGAGATCTGTATCTATCTATATATTTAGAGAGAGAGAGGTTTATTATTATGAGTAATTGGCTCACACAATTATGAAAGCTGAGAAGTTCCACAATTTGCCATCTGTAAGCTGGCAGGAAAGCTGATGGTGTAAGTCTGAACGCCTGAGAACTAGGGAAGACAATGTTGTAACTCCAAGTCCAATGACCAAAGATGAGATGTCCCTGCTTACAGAGGAGGCAAGAAAAAAAAAATGGGCAAACTCCTTCCTCCACCTTTTGATCTATTCAGAACCTCAAGGAATTAGATGATGCTCATGCATATTGGGGAGTGCAAGCTACTTTACTGAATCCACCAATTAAATTAAAGTGTTAATCTCATCCAGAAATACCCTCATAAACACACACAGAAATAATGTTTAATCTGGGCACCTAGAAGCCAGTCAAGTTGACACATGAAATTAACCATTATAGGTGCCCTCCTTTCTCTTCTTAGGCTCTGACAGCCCTCACCAGGTTGTCCCTCTGCCCAGATGCCCTTCTCGCCCTGCTTGGGCTCAGTTTGTACCAGGCCACACTTTCACATGGATAACCTTCTCACTGCAAGCTCCCCTTCCTTCTGGGTGGAAAGCTACCTTGTGTGACCCCACTGGCTTTTGGATTGAGTCATTTAGGAAAAGAAAAGGAAAAAGGGAGAGAAAGGAGCTTAAATGCCTAATTATTTGCCTCTCTCCCCTACTGGAGACAGACTTATTTGAGGCTAACAATAAACAAGTTGGGGGTTAAACAATAAACAGATTTATGTTTACCACTGTGTTTCCAGCTCCAGGAGCAGTGCCTGGCACAGTAGACCCTCAATAACTGTTGAATGAATGAGTGACATAGCAAGGAATGAATCCAAACCATCACTAACCCTAGGGACCTTGGTACTGAAGCTCAACGATGATTGCTAATGTTGCTTAAAATTAACTGGTGATTTTTACAGATTCTCTGTAAATGTTGATCAGTTGAATGAAAATATGAACAGTTAAGTCAAAGTTAAGGGGTGACAAAGAAGACAGCATGGCTACAAAGAGTTAATTGTATTTTTTAAATGTTTGTTTATTTTTGAGAGAGAGAGAGAGAGACAAAAACAGCATGAGTCAGAGAGGGGGCAGAGAGAGAGGCAGACACAGAATCTGAAGGAGGCTCCAGGCTACAAGCTGTCAGCACAGAGCCCAATGTGGGGTTTGAACCCACGAACTGTGAGATCATGACCTGTGCCGAAGTCGGACTTAACCGATTGAGCCACCCAGGATCATCAATTGTATTTCTTGAGAGGTGTCCTGACCCCTCCTGATAAAAGGACCTATGTATAGCCTTGCTACTCAAAGTGTGGTCCTTGGGCCAGTAGCATCAATGTTATCTGGGACCTCATTAGCAGTGCAGAATCTCTAGCCCTACCAGATCTGAATCAGGGGCACCTGGGTGGCTCAGTTGGTTGAACGACTGACTTTGGCTCAGGTCATGATCTCACAGTTTGTGAGTTCGAGCCCTGCATCGGGCTCTGTGCTGACAGCTCAGAGCCTGGAGCCTGCTTCGGAGTCTGTGTCTCCCCCTCTCTCTCCCCCTCCCCTGCTCGCGCTCTGTGTCTCTCTGTCTCTCAATAATAAATAAACATTTAAAAAAATCTCTTTAAAAAAAATCTTCTGAATCAGAATCTGCACTTTAACAAGATCCCTGGGTAATTAGTGTGCACTTCAAAGTTGGGAAGCGCTGTTGAAAAAACCTGTTTCCCTTCTAGGTACATCTTTACTAGTGAGACCAAGTCTGCGAAAGTCCTCTGAATTGACTGCTTTCTAGCTGGAAGAATGAAGAAAGCAGACATGGATTGAGAGCAAAGACTCCCAGAATTACCACAGTTAAGAATTCAAAGCGACAGAGTTCTATTTGGGGACACAAAGTGCCAATGGAAGGGTGATTGGAAGGGGGCTGTAGTATACCCCTATGTTGTTTAATTATTTAACAATGAATTCAAAACACGTGTGCACCATATATGTACAAATATATATGTACATAATATATATGTACATAACTTGGATCAGGCAAGATGGAGGGAGCCCTACTCAGGCAGTGACCAAAATGCAAAAAGCTACAAAGACCTCTTCTAAATTAGAATCATAGGCTACATTTACCATAAAATGCTTGTCTACAAGCTTAGTTTGGAAATTCAGAGACTTCTGGAATTCTCTCTTCACATCATTTTTCAGGAGAGGGAATGCATATTTAGAGAATAAGGAAAGGATAGGGTTAGGGGTTGGTGTTGGAGGGAGTTAGAGTCCTCTTTTCCTTGAGTAACGTCTCCATCTGCTGGCGGTCTGGGATATGGCTAATGAAGACCTGAAAGAATGCTTGCGGCAACTCACCACCTACTCCCCAAATGGTCTCCTCTGCCTCACCTTTTCTCTTCCTTCCTTCCACCTCTGCCTCTCTTTTTCCTTCCTTTCTCTCTTTTTCTGTAAGTCTCACTCTCCTGTTCACCATTCTGTACTTCCTTTCCCTTCCATTATATCCCTGATGCAGACTTTGTATTCTGTAGACGTGGATCACTCATTCCTTACGAGGCAGAATTCACCTAGGACAGGTTTTTCCTCACATGAAGCTGAATCTAACTTCTGTAGCTCCCCCCGTTATTCTATATCTGCTCTCGGGCAACACAGAACACGACAAACTTCTCTGCCCTGAGCCCTTCAGACGCTTGAATACTCTGACCACGCTTTCCATTTATCTGCTTTTTTTTTTTTTTCTCAGCAATTCCCTCCAGCCCCTCAGCTATGTCACACCGAAAGCTTCTAGTAGCCACTGCTGGACACATGCCAATACATCCGGATCCCTCATACACTGTGGGACCCCACATGGATGAATAGTCCAGTTCTGGGCTGGGTAGCACAGAAAGGATCCATCACTTCCCTTAGGATACATGCCATGCCTCTCCTAATGAAACCAATATGTGCATTTATTCTAAGCATCTTCGGGGAGCCCAGGTAGCTCAGTCAGTTAGGCGTTCGACTTCAGCTCAGGTCACGATAACACACTCCATGAGTCTGAGCCCCGCGTTAGCCTCTGTGCTGGCAGCTTAGAGCCTGGAGCCTGCTTCAGATTCTATATCTCCCTCTCTCTCTGCACTCCCCCACTCACACACTCTCTCTCTCTCGAAAATAAATAAGCATTAAAAAAAAAAAAAAGACTCTAAGCATCTTAAACTGTTCAGTAAACTTATTTGGAGTTAAAAATAAACCAAAAATTCTTGACTTTGCTTCTGCTAAGTCCCATCATACCTGCAATTTTTTTAATATTTTATTTTATTTTAGAGAGAGAGAGAGAGCATGCATGAAAGTTGGGGAGACAGAGGAAGAAAGAGAGAGAATTTCAAGCAGGCTCCACGCTCAGTGCAGAGCCCACCACGGAGCTCGATCCCAGAATCCTGGGATCATGACCTAAGCCAAA